CTCTTCTATTACATGAATAAATGACATTAGACTAAAACTTTCGGAGAACTGGCAAAGCTTCACTCAACTCAAGATCTGAAGGCCTTGAAATCACACACAGCTTCCCTAAGTTTTTAATAGTTTGCCTGCTTGATCATCTGGGTCAGTTCAGACATTTCATTTCTTTTCTTTCTCAAGGGTGCTCCAGAAAGTGTCATTGAGCGCTGCAGTTACATACGTGTTGGTGCAAACCAAGTCCCCTTGACCTTTTCCATCAAAGAGAAGATACTTTCCAAGATCCGGGAATGGGGTACTGGCATTGACACGCTGCGCTGTCTTGCCTTGGCCACGAGAGACCATCCGCCTCGGAAAGAGGATATGCGTCTAGATGACGCCAGCCAGTTTGTTAATTATGAAGTAAGTAAGGCTGGCTAAAGGGGCAGGGTGTCTTTACAGGCCATATGTGAAATATGAGCCAGTAGAGTGATGCAGCTGCTAAAAAAGCAAATGCAATTTTGGGGTACATTCTCGGCATAACATCCAGGAAATAATCATTCCTCTCTACTCTGCCATGATCAGACCTCATTTGGAGTACTGTGTCCTATCCTGGGCAGTACAGTTCAAAAAGGACAGTGACAAGCTGGAGCGGGTTCAGAGGAGGGCTGCCAAAATAGTGAAGGGTCTGTAAACTAAGCCCTATAAATAATGGTTAAAAGCTCTGAGTATGTTTAACCTACAGAAAAGACAATTAGGAGGTGAGAGGTGATAGCAGTCTTACAGTATCTAGAGGTCTGTCTCACAGAAGAGGGAGTGGACTTCTTCTCTGCTGTCCAGAGGGCAGGATCAGAACCAGTAGGTTAAAACCACAAGAAAGGAGATTGAGACATCAGAAGGAACTTTCTCCCTGTTCATGCTGTCAGCCAGTGGAACAAGCTGCCACGTGGCATGGTGAGTTCTTCTTTGCTGAGGTCTTAGCAGAGGCTGGATGACTATCTGTCAGAGATGCTCTGGTGGGTCTTACATGGAGCATGGTATTGAACTAGATAACCTTCTGGGATCCCTTCCAACTCTGAGATTCCATGAGGAGAGTTCATGATGTTGGATTACAAGGAATCCTCCAAAACGTATATCTTCCTATGTTTGGAAGCAGAGGTGGGCTGGGTAACTTTTTAGGCCAAAGGCTGTTGAGATCACATTTACAAAAGGGAAGGCAAAGCTGCCCTCCCCCAATTTAAAAGTCAATATCCTCCCCTAACAAAATCTATCCACCTCCATAAGTCTAAACCAGCCACAACCGACGTTTAAAAGTTAAGTCTTTTAAAGACTTTGATACTGTAAAATAAGTGTGTCACTTAAAAATAGTTCACACCAATACATTTCAAGAGGAATTGTGGACGGGGCTTTGAGAATATTGCGGGGAGGCACGTGGCCCATGGTTTACCCACTTCTGCTTTAAGGCATCCTCCTCCAGGAACCTTCTAGGTATGTCAGAATCTAATCAACATCCAACAGAGTTGCTACCCAAACTAGTTTGCTCTGAGGAGAAGTGGCACCATCCAAGTCTACTTTCCATTGATTCAGTTCCAATCACCTCCAGCCTTTTAGGACAAGGCATTCTCCCTGTCTCCAAAGTTTAGAAAATAGAGAATCAACCCTCTGAACTATGTATTCCTCCACTCCCTTTTGCCTGTAGACCAAGCTGACCTTTGTTGGCTGTGTGGGAATGCTGGACCCTCCTCGGAAGGAAGTGGTGTCATCCATCGAAATGTGCAAGAAAGCGGGCATCCGTGTCATCATGATCACCGGAGACAACAAAGGAACAGCCGTGGCTATCTGCCGGAGGATTGGGATCTTCTCAGAGAGCGAGGAGGTGACGGACAAAGCCTACACAGGCAGAGAGTTTGATGATCTCTCACCAGAGGCCCAAAGCAATGCTTGTCGTTCAGCTCGATGCTTTGCTCGGGTGGAGCCAGCGCATAAGTCCAAGATAGTTGAATACTTACAGTCATTCAACGAAATCACAGCCATGGTGAGTTCAGATGGTCACTCTTCTCTTCTTGGATCTGATCTTCCAGATTTACTCAGAAGTTTTGGAAGATAGCACGGTGGTCTAGATGAAAGGCGAGACATAAATCAAATAACTAAGTAAATAGGGTTGTGTATATTCTTCAGGTTTCTGTCCCCTTCCTTGGATCAGAATCCATGTGTAGTTTAATCTTTACATCTGGTGCTATCCAGATGTGTTGGACTTCAACTCCCAGAATTCTTTGCTAGTGGGCATGTTGGCTGGGAATTTGGGGAATTCCTAATCCAACATGTCTAGAGGGGACCAAGTAAGGAAAAACTAGTATAAATATACAGTGGTACCTCGGTTCATGAACGCTTCTGTTCACGAACAATT